TATTGATTTATTGAAGTAACGCATGCGCTGTAACATCCCTCACTACACCCCCGCTATCCCGGCCGCCTATCAACATAGCTCGATATAGGCGGTTGCTAGGCCACACCCTATTACATAAAAAAAAAAACGAAAAAATATGGCAATTTTCTACAATCTATCCGAGGTTTTAACTTCCTTAGCATATTCAGATATGGAATAGTAACATAAAAATATATTATTTATGATATACAAATTTTATTTGCGTTCTGATGTACTATGTCTAAAAAAATGCATTGGTGTGAACTAAAGCAATGCCGGATAGTTTTTTATTTGATAAAAAAAACATTATGTGATCGTATACATTCTATTACGTAACCAAATGAGAAATTTACAAAGCAATTTATGTAACTTACCTCAATCGGTGATTTCAAGTAATAGTTGGTTTCTCGAAATTTCCAAATTCAAATTCGAAGGGTAAGTTCCGTCCCGCAGTCAGCACTGAACCTGAAAGTTGCCAATAAACATGACTATGTACATTTGATTTTATAAACAATACTCAATATCATATATAATGTTATGCATTTAACGAAAAAAGTATAAATCACTTACAATAGTAAATGGAGGCCACAAGAAATGTTTTATTCAGCCGGCATTTATTGTTCCACAGTCCTGCAAGCTCGGAGCTCGATTCTCGAATGTACGAGTGTTCCCAGCTCACAAGATTATTTCAACATTGTCTATGCTTCTCAGAGTTGGTCGCAATTATTTTTAAATCGTCCTAAATAATAATTCACATGTTTTGTTAATTTCAAATATTAAGATAATATTGCAAATAAGTCAGTAATCGCGTAATTATTAAAAATTGGCACTAAGTTATTGGATTTCGCGTTTCTCTTAATGTATCACAGATGTACACAAATCATAGAGTGGTTATATTCAAAATTTTTAATCTTTATTTTTATTTCATATTGTTAAAACGTGTGTGACGTTTTTATTATATCTGGTTTTCTAAGATATGGAGTAGGAATATTGTTTTTAGCAATGGAGAGTAACGGACAAATACAAAGACAGTTTGAAGGCGTCTTAAATACACGCTTAAACTCTACATTCCATTAAAATTAATTATCAAATTTTATTCTAGGTTTCTAAAGTTTTTATTTCATCTTTACTTAGTGATACATTATTTTTAGGTTGACGTAAGTTTCAACCGAGTAATAGTCAAGTTGCATAGCTGGAAACGCTATTTCGTGAAATTGACGAACCAAAAACACTAACGAATGGTTAAACGCACTTGGGAAACCGGCCATTAGTGCTTAAAATTTGTTTCAGTATACGGCAGCTCGTCTTATTTTATGTTAATATTCAACAAACTCATTTTGGCTGAAATAGGAGCTTTCGAAGCCTCAATTTTAGCTTTCAGTGTCGTTAAAACGATTTTCCTCATACAAACAAGATACAGCAACGCCTCTAGTACCAGATAACTTAGTCCCAAAATAGGTATTTTATAGTCTTTGAGGCTTTGATCTAAAGCAGAAATAAAGATAATGCAGACTTCAGTTTGTCTATGGTTTCAAGTAACAAGGTATCCTTATGTCAATTTTTCTGAACACTACGCTTGTCATAGAATATTTATCCGCAGAGAGTAAAGCCTCTTTAATTTATTATAGTAATCAGGGCGTGTTATTGATTTTATAATTATATTTTTCATACTAAAGGATTATTAGACTTGTACAGCAAACTTTGTGCTAAGTTATCTGACCCGGTCATAAGTGGAATTAAATTATGAAACCTCACTAGCGCCATATTTTTATTCTATTTTCTATTTAATCTATGTTCCAACCGATAGCAGCGCCTCTGCCGGCTAGAGATACTTGTTTGACTAAACTTGTTAAAGTCCCTGTTCTACGGGAGTAGGAAAAGTGCGGCAGTATATACTTTAGTGTCACTGCATTGTATAGATCAACAAGCATATCTGACTAAGTTATGACAGTTCAGTGGCGCCCTAATGTCAATGTCAAAATAGTTCAGAAGGTCCTTTTTGTACTGTATAGTCCTATGAGGACATCTGACTCGGTGGATATAATTTGATCTAAAAAATAGCGGCTCACTAGCGCCATCCTGATAATGCCAAAAATGTGACGTAAGGTCATTTTCGTACTGCTTCGTAATTGCTTGTTTTATACCATTTTAATGCCCATGTAGGTTTTTACTTTTTCTGACAGACCTAACTGGGACAGCAATGTCCCCCTCATGAGGCTAGATGTCCTTGCTTGACTATATCATTATTAAGAGTTACATGTGTACCACAGGTACTGACTTGTATAAATGGATAGGCTATAAGGCATGTCTATTTGATTTTTACTGACGCTTGTCGCGGTGGTTCGTATAGATAGCCATAGAATTACCTAGCAACCACATCCATAGGCGCTTTTTAGTCAGAACAAAGTGAAAGTAGTAATTTCCAAGTAATGACCTATCCATTTATACATATCTGTGCCCACATGCCAGATTTTTTTGTATTCTTTTTGTTACTTACGACATATACCTACTGCTTTTGTTGTTTAGTTGCTACTCCTTTTGCGGTCGCTTTGTGTCGCGTAGAACCACGCTGCGTAGCACGATGTTCTACGTGATTGTCGTAGCAAATGCTACATCCGTGTAAATTCACATTTGACGTATGTTAACTCAACCTTAACTAAAACCAGATGAGTATGTAAACTGTACAGAGACAAAGTTTGATAAGAATGTTCAAAATATACCTTTTTAGGGTTGTCACAAGGTGACACAAATTAAACACAACAAAACTAATTAGTCTGAAGTAGATAGGATTTTTTATATTTTTCTTTTGATAATGTGATATTTTTTATGATAGATTTTTAGACTTGCAACAAGCAAAATAAACAATGTGCGTGGTGTCAACCCTGGTTGTCCATTGTGCCGTCGTAAATCGTTTTTTTCAGTTAGGCGGCGTCTACGATATTCTTGTTGTTAAAGCTTTGTCTCTGTATCGTTTATTTACTGAGCGAGATTGATTTGGTGATAAACATCACAGCATCTTTCAACCTAATTTTAATCTTTTTCATACTTTCTTACTTATTATTATAAATGAAAAAGTTTCCACGCATGTATGATGTGTGTTAGAGTTTGTAGCCCAAACGGATCTCGATGAAATTTGGCATAGATGTAGAGGATAGTCTGGAAGAACACATAGGCTATTTACTTTTTTAACTCCAAAAGGACGGAGTTGCGGACGAAAGCTATCTTATTAATATTGCAAATGCTAAAGTTTAGATAGATGGATGTTTGTTAGAGTTTGTAGCCCAAACTGCTGAATGGATCTTGATGACATTTGGCATAGATGTAGAAGATAGTCTGGAAGAACACATAGGGTACTTACTTTTTTAATTCCACGCGAACAGAGTCGCAGGTTAATGTTAGTATGAAATGAACATTGCTAGTTTATATTTCTCTCAATAGGTATTCCATATGGCTATAGTTTGTTGTCCTAGTCGATATCTTCCACAGACTTAACAATCACACCTATCTCTTATTGTTTATGTTTGAACCTTATTGTTTAAATAGTTATTTTAGAAAGATAACTGGATTATCAATAACCCAGTTGGAGTAACAATTAAATTTATAGTTTTGTATTGAATTTGTTCATATCTTAACTGTAAATATTTTTGAGTACTTATTGTTACTTATTGTAGACGTAAATAGTTATTATTGATGCACTATTTTTGTCATCCAAGGATTTTAAGATATATAGCCTCGAATCTTGTTTAACAAATATCAGTTTTCTTATATCTATGAGGTAAATTTTATATTTCTCTATTAGGATATGATTTAGTTTAATAAAACCATGTAATGAATTGGTAAAGTTTTTATTTCACATTGTTCTTTTACTCAAATTAATTCACGAATCATATGAATGAATATTAAATGTGATGTTGTTGATGTTAACGGATGTCAAGAATATAACAATGAGTCTTCAGACGTAGACACGGGTCACTTTAGATTTTAATAGCTATTATTACCTACTATAGTTCCACAAACGCATCCGATTACCGTCGCGGTTTAAAAAATGTTACAATACAAGCCATAAAACGTCGGCTATCTTTGTATCACTTTTACCCACCGGGTCAGACAAGTTCGTAGTACTAGTACATTAGTAAAATATCGTATGTTAAACTTGAATATTAAAAACATATTTTTTTACATTTGATTATTAATTGTGATGTTTTTTTACTAAATTATCTGAACAAACTATTTAATTCATAAATCAGAATTTTAATGTTATTTCGTTATTTTTTTATAATTTGTGTAAACATCAAGTTTTGGCAGTGGAATTATACAATGACAATATTTCGTTTTATCCATTAATGAGTCTTGATGATTTTTTTTTATCTATGCATTTATGTAAATCAATAGTTATCTTTTAACTTACAAGTTTTTATAAAGTGACATTTTTTTTCTAGAAAAAGACAATTGCAAGCTGTTAACTGATGTCAAGAATATAACAATGAGTCTTCAGACGTAGACATGCGTCACTTTAGATTTTAATAGACATTATTACCCACTTTAGTTCCACAAGCTCATCCGATTACCGTCGCGGTTTAAAAAATGTTACAATTCAAGCCATAAAACGTCGGCTATCTTTGTATCACTTTTACCCACCGGGTCAGACAAGTTAGTAGTACTAGTACATTAGTAAAATATGTTATGTTAAAGTTGAATATTAAAAACAATGTTTTTTACATTTGATTCTACATTTAAATAGCTACAAATGTTTTAACAGACAGACAATTTTTTTTAATGCGATTCTCGTTATCAAAAATGCAAATACATTATCTTAATGAAATTTGTAATTTTTCTTCCGCTATTACATACATGCAACAGTGGTAGAGCCCGCTTTAACATCTTCGCACGAGTTGGTCGGCTCCCCCCCGTAATAACACGACCATACAGAATACACCACCATTTTTTTACGTTACAATGTTGTAAAAAAAAAAAATATACACCAATAAAGTTATATGTACATACTCGTCAATTAAAAAAGGAAAAGATTTCTAACATGACCCTACGTTATATCTTGATAATTTTATATAAATAAAAAAATCTTCGTATTGTTTCATGAATTCCAGTTCCATTCTGTGTATCGTCACAAAGACAGCGATCTCTTCTGCAACTCAACTCAATGTTGCAGAAGCTCTGAATCAAACTATATGAATTGAACCTCTTCCCAAATTTTGCTTTGGGTTTCCGTCGTCTCACTCACTTTGGAAGACAATTATGGTTTCCTGCCTCCGCGTCTATCAATGTGACGTTACTCTTCAATTACATTTTCTTCTTTCTGAATTTTAGACAAACTCTTATCACGGAATTTGTTCTGTGAACCTTCTTCTCATTCTTATTCTATGCTAAAATCCACTCACTTTGGAAGTCTAATATACAAGCTTTCAGTCCTCCAAGAAAGGTAAGGGCCGTAACGTGGTAGAGTGCATTTAACAGTCTATGCAATTTTCTTAATTTTGACTGGAACTTTTCATTGCGATTTTCGGAAGACGCGATGCGTTTGAATCATCCGCCCGCTGCGACTGCACCTACACAGGTGTGTTTCGTTACTATCACGGTATCAAAAAAAACTATGATACCGTGATAATACGAATACAACGGCCATGTATTAGTAAGTAAGTTTTAGTCAAACTTACGTGCTTTCGACGATATCAAATGCTCGTGGCGCTGCAAAGGTGAATTCTACCTCGTGACATCTCGGCAGCAGTAATTATATCTAAAAGATAATTAAAAAGATTAGAAAGGAGTCCAGAAGTCAAGAAGTTATTAAGTATTCCAATGAGATTTGTGTTATACTTACATGTTTTTAATAGATTGCATTCGTAACTGGTGGTGCACAAGTTCAGACCTATAGTATGTCTGCCGTCATAGAAATCTGAAGTATTCTCCTGGCAGTAATTGTTAGAGAAAAATGCTGTTTTTTAGAAGTTATGCAACAGCGATTCGCTTTGTCTTAATTATCGACCGACTTTCTGAAAGAAGGAGGTATTCAATTCGTCTGTATGTTTTTTTTTAATGTGTTACGGCATAACTCCGCCTTTGATTTTGAAAATCCTTTTTTTATCCGAAACATAGTGCTTGCAGCGCCCATATTTTGTATTTAGTAAATCTAGATGTTTTTAATGTTTTTTTCTTATCTTTGATGTCTGGTAGTCAACGTGTGACTCTTTTGCTGCTCAAATGGTTGAAGGGATCTGTAGGTTTTCTCTGTATTGACGAATCAGTGGATAAATAGTTGTGAAGATCTGTACTATTGTTCGTGCTAACACCGAATCTGTGGAAAAAAAATCCATTTTAGTGATAGTAGATCGAAACAGCAGCATTGCCTTTAGAAAATGATTAAATAAGAATATATGCTCACTTTGTTTGTGTAGATGGCATGCTGAACTGGTGACCCGCGTAGCTTTTACTAGCTCAATGAATACTACTTAAGTCTGAACCAAGGCTGAGCTAGCTGATGCAACGTGCTATCCACTTGTTACAAAGTATGTATGTACCATATCACATCATCATCATCATCATAACTCCAAATAACTATCATACACCATCTCAGTCATCACTCCCTTTTTGATCATGTCACCTTTCACGCAATCCGTCCATCTCTTTCTAGGTCTACCTCTATCGGTGTACCCTTCCACACTCATACCGTTGTTTTTGTAACAAAGCATGTATTATTGGCAATAAATAAATTTTAGAATTAAGATTTGTTGCTATTACCATCATCATCATCATCTTCATCTCCTTATCCTACTCCCGTAGTGTCGGCGCAACCGGTTTTTGTCCTCCACATAACTCTATCATACGTCATCTCAGTCATCACTCCCTTTATGATCATGTCACCTTTTACACAATCCATCCATCTCTTTCTAGGTCTTTGTTGCTATTACCATATATATGGTTATTGGTAATCAGAAATATTCCCGTTAGGGAGTAATAGAGGGGGTAATTTGTGATAATTTCGACCCCAATTTTTTGAACGAAAAAAACGTTTTTGAGTAATCTTGATTTTTCGATTTTTTCGAAGTAAGTCGAAATTGCAACTTCAAAAATTTATTTAAAAAAAAAAACTGTCAATGATAATTAAATTTTTTCTTCGGATTTATAAAAACCATTAAACATTTATTTTTTGCCGATATAAAAAAATCATTTATCTCTCCAAATTAAAAATTGCGAGCTGAAGAATCATTTTACTTTAACATTTTTCGATATTCTCATCCACTGATATGCCTTAAAAACTAGAAAAATCGTTATGTAACTTGGTCTGCAGATTTTTTTAAAAACAAGTCTGTTTTCTTAGCTCTACAAAAATGCATAATAACTAGGAACTTGCTCCAAGGGCACTGAAATAAACTCATGATTTTAAAGGAATCGGGCGGTAATCGTTCTCAAACTAAAGGTACGGTTGGTTTTGAAAGCTTCCATTAAAGTAATTAAAAACAATAACAAACGGCTAATAAACCAAAAATACAAATTTATGTAAATTGAATTAATGAAGTTAATGGTTAACAATGAATATTAAGGTAACAATTAAGACATTTTGAACTTTCGCCTCGACCTATCCAAAAATGAGGAAAACCGCAGCTATCACTTATTTTATTCTATTTCTTGATAATGGCTTTCCCTCAGCGGATTGGGCAACATCTATCACCTAACATTAACACTAAAATGAGCAGGTCATCCGTCCTTCTTGTATGTCATGTTTTGCCCTATTGCCAATGGTAGGGTTTTGAAGAGATTGTTATAGTAATAGTAATTTATTGAACTGTTATTGGTTCCAAATTTTCTCTTAAATTTGTATTTTCGGTTTATTAGCCATTTGTTATTCTTTTTAATTATTTTTATGGAAGCATTCAAAACCAACCGTACCTTAAGTTCGAGTACGATTACCGCCCGATTCCTTTAAAATCATGAGTTTATTTCAGTGCCCTTGGAGCAAGTTCCTAATTCTTATGCAATTTTGGAGAGCTAAGAAAACAGACTTGTTTTAAAAAAAAACGGCAGACCAAGTTACATAACGATTTTTTTAGTTTTTAAGGCATTTCAGTGGATGAGATTCTCGAAAAATATTGAAGTAAAATGTTTCTTCAGCTCGCATTTTTTAATTTGGAGAGATAAATGATGTTTTTATATCGTCAAATAATAAATGCTTTTTATAAATCCGAAGAAAAAATTAAGTTATCATCGACAGTTTTTTTTAAATAAATTTTTGAAGTTGCAATTTCGACTGATTTTGAAAAAATCGAAAAATCAAGATTACTCGAAAACGGTAAACCCTATATATGGTTATTGGTAATTAGACGTATTCCCGTTAAGGAGTAATAGAGGGGACCATTTGTCTTTTTTGACCCCTATATGCATTATTCAAAAGTTAACCGTTTTCGAGTAATCTTGATATTTCGATTTTTTTAAAATAAGTCGAAATTGCAACATCAAAAATTTATTTAAAAAAACTATTAAAGATAGCTTAATTTTTTCTTTGGATTTATAAAAACCATTAAACACTGATTATTTTACAATATAACAACATAATTTATCTGTCCAAATTAAAAAATGCGAGCTAAAGAAACATTTTACTTCAACATTTTTCCAGATTCTCATCCACTGAAAAGCCTTAAAAACGAAAAAAATCATTATGGAACTTAGTCTGCAGATTTTTTAAAAAATATGCCCGTTTCTTAAGCTCTCCAAAAATGCACAATAACCAGGAACTTGTCCCCGGGTCACTGAAATAAACACATGATTTCAAAGAAATCGGGTGGTATTCGTACTCGAACTAAAGTTACGGTTGGTTTTGAAAACTCTATAATCTTTTTTTTCTTTTTTAAGGCATATCAGTGGATGAGAATCTCGAAAAATATTGTAGTAAAATGTTTCTTTTGCTCACATTTTTTAATTTAGACGATAAATTATGTTGTTATTAAGTTTTTATTGATAGTTTGTTTAAATAAATTTTTAAAGTTGCGATTTCGACTTATTTTGAATAAATCGAAAAATCAAGATTACTCGAAAGCGGTTAACTTTTTAGATAATGCATATAGGGGTCTAAAATTATCACAAATGATCCCGTCTATTACGCCATAAAGGCAATACGTCTAATTACCAATAACCCTGTAAATTATTATTTCATAGGTTCAGTTTTTGTGAAGTAACTTCTGCCAATTTTATTTGTCCTATAGCCTTCGTTAATTATCATCTCTTGTCTTCTCCATTGGTTATCTCTCGTGACCTTTTTACTCTCTGTTTACTGACTGAAGTTGACCATTTCCAAAGAAGTCAATCCATACCAAGTGGTGTAGTTAGCTTGATGGAAAAAAGACGATACAAAAACAATATTTAGACTGTAGCCTTATCACATCCCAAAATAATTAAATGTGGAAAGTAAATCTAACAAGTTGATGAAATGTATATTAAAATTTAATTATAATTGGGTTATTTATTCCGAGAAGTTTGTGTAGGTAACACACTAGAAGTTCATAAAATGCGAATCTGTTTTATGAGATTTATTTAAAAAAAAGTTAGGTTATGGAGTGTATAATTTATATGAAGGTACTATTAATGTCAAGTAAAGAACGAAATTTTCATAAACTTGTCAGATTTAAATATGTACATCATCATCACCAGCTTACTATACGTCCACACCGAGGGGCTCGGAGCCTACCCTAAGTTAGGGTGACTAGGCCATAGTCAACCACGGTGGCCAAGTGAGGGTTGGTTGACTTACTTATCTTTGAATTTCTTCGCCAATATGTGCAGGTTGCATCATGATGTTTTCCTTCAACGTAAGAACGCCGGATAAATTATGTACTAATAATCTAATCACATTGGTACGGCGGGATTCGAACCCAACCTGTAGATTACATGTCAAGTGCTTAAACCACTGAGCCACCGACGCTGGGCATGTACATATATGTACATAATGAAATGTAATTGTTAACTTAATTAAGTTTAAGTGTGAGACTTACTTTACTTTTGCTTGGAGATTTAAATCCAACAAAATAATGAGTTTAAATTCTGTTAAGTTTAAATAAGCTTAGCGCGAGTTGACGCCGGAATTTTTAAATGAGTGAAAATATAAAATCTACAGCATTTTAGAGGGCTCCCAAAAGCATTCCAATGTTTCTTTTACAACTTGCTAAATTTGTATTATCTTCATACGAATAAAATGTTTAAAATTAAATCTACTCATATTATTTACCCTGTCTATACATATACAATATACCTACACAATAGACAAAACAACTAAGTGGTCAGTATTAACTTAAACAGATAAAGAGTTATAAACTACATGAAGTCCTCTTTTCGAGGAGTGCGTGAAAATAGCTTATATCTATTATTAAAGATTAGCGATAGTGTCTCTAATGATTAAGTTTGATTACCATTTAAGTACTTAATCAAAATCTTTTGAATGATACTATCAGAAAACTAAGAGAGAAGCGCACTTTACACACGCGCACTATTAAAAGACGCGCGCGTCGGCACGAGCGCGTAGGCACGAGAACCATCGCAAGCGCACGTACACCATCACAAGCACACGCGCACCAACACACGCACACGCACACGCGCACTATCACAAACACACGCGCTTTACCGCACTTTACACAACACTTATCTTCTTCGGAAAATCGTGAAGTAGGTGGACCTTGAAAAAATCCCTCATCATTCACCAAAGCGGCGGCGCTGTAGCGCTCGTTGTGGTCGTCGGCTGCGCGTGCTCTTATTTCTGCAACCATTTTTGAAGTAGTTAATTTGGTGGTTCTTGCAATGTTTATAAAGAAGAGTATGATAGAAAAACATTTAGATCAACTTACTTCGTGTGATTAAACACTTGATGGTTATCGAGGAGACCAGGATAATTTGGGCGCCCATGCCACAGGCACACACCGCTGTCCGTTGACCTGCACATAGAACTAATGGATCTCTTTAGTAATGTTCACGTACATTTGTTACTCATCGCGAGCTCCAAGGTTTAAATGATTTTTTTTTTGCTTTTCTTGAGTTAACTAATATTTGTACTACTTTTAATCTATGAGAAATAATAAATGTTGTTC